CCTGGGATGTGTTTTTTAAGGATAGTGGCATCAGGTGCTGCAATAATAAGGACTTTCAAGCCCTTCCCTGTCTGTAAAAAGAATCAGAAGGAAGCCTTCAGCTGTCTCCTGTGTGAGCAATTAGAAGGCACAAGCAGAGTGTATGCTGTGCCTGTAGCGCAATTACTGCACCGGAAATGAGTGTTCTTACTTGCTGATGAATAGCTACCCATTAGTCAGGCCTGTGATCTCCTAATACTGACATCTTAATAGCATCTCACTATACCCTCTCTGGTATCAGTGGGTATAATCGATAGGAGTGGATCTGTGATGCTTGTCTTAGATGTGCGTGCACGACTCTCTGTGAGGATTCGTTTGTTGGTCGGTTTGTCCCCTAAAACATCACTTTCTCCCCGTGTGCGTGCCAGAGTTGCTTTACTTTATTTTGGATGTTTGGAAGCCAATGAAGGCTCTTGTGTTACACGGTTCTGCAAATCCATTAGGGGAGTAAATTGTGACAAGTGCCTATAAAAGCCACAAAGACAGCCATCACGGATATGATTTCATTTGGGGAATTGGATAGGAAATTGCCTTTTAGACCATTGGAACAGATAGCTTCTTTTGACAAAGCGTCACATTGGTTGGGGATGGAAGGTGCAGCTGTTGCAATTACTGCTTGGGTCTTCATTTCATTCATAATATTGTCGGTCCAGTGATAAAAGAGGAACTAGACCAAAAGCTACTGTAATTTGTAATTTAATTTGACGAAATCTGTCTCATTTGTTGAGCATAACGCAGTGCTTACTATGAGAGGCAGACTGCAACGCCAATCCACAGCCCCAATTAGTTCTGCCTGATGAATCTCAGCTGATGGCAGTGCTGTTTTGCATGGGGACTGAGAGCTGCTGTTCGTGTGGAGTTCCCTGACCATTGCCTGGGTTGCTGTAAATGAGTGTGAGAGCAGTAAAAAAGTAAAGCACAAGAGCATAGATGCTTTTCTACACAAAGTTAGCATGTCTTGTGTTAGTGCCTTGTTTGTGGTCCTTAATGCCTTCCACGACTAGAGCAAGCCAGGAAACTGAAGGTGTGGGGGTGTCCTTCGGTGGGCTCTGCTTAACCTGAGATCTGGAGACCGAACCTGGCAGGAGGTAAAACGCTGATCAGTAAGGCCGAGTGCAGACTGATGGATCGATACAAGAGATCAACACAACAATTAACATTTCCTGTGTGATCGTTTGCTGTGGTGCATATATGGTTTGCTCGGCCATAGTCCTGTGGCTTGTGTGTTGGTTTATTCTGCCCCTCCATGCCTGACTAGCATTTTACTGTCTGCCAGTAAGGTCATGCAGTTATTAATAACTGTGTGTAAGTGTACTTGTGTATGGAGTTTTAATTACTAATATGTGTATATATATATTTTAAAAACGCAAAGTTCAGGTAACTGAAATTGAATTCTAGAAAATACAAATTTAGAACTTAAATCTTTCTGACTTTTTTATTGTCCATTTTCTTAGAAAGCACAACTTCTCCCCCTTCCTGCCGCTAAAACGTATAAACGGTGGTGTGAGAATGAACATGTCTTTGCAGTCCAGTAAAGGATTCAACAGGTTCGTCACCCAGTGTGGGAAATGGGAGAGCAGCTGGGTCTGCAGTCTTTAAATACACAGGGTAGACTGTCATTTGCTTTCGAAGATTTTGGTTCAGCGCCTGAAGAAACAGCGTTGCCTGCCACACTTTCAAGTGCTGGAGAACTTTGTGGGTGGCGGACAGACACTGGGAGTGCGGACAGCAGGATTAGTGCAGACTTTGAGGATTATCTGTACGAGACAGTCGTGGGTGATTGGGACACTAGGAATTTGGCATAGGTTTGGTGTGGCTAGTTCTAAATTCTACAGGGAAGAAGTGGGACAAATGCTTTTTTTATGATTTCCCAGGGCAGAGATGGTAACTTGTTTATTCGTTTTGTTACTGCACTGTTTTGAGGAGGAGTTTGTACTCTTCAGTTCTCTAGGGACAACGACATGGAAAAGTGGAATGCTTTGTGGATGTTTGCGATACTTGGCGAGATGCTGTAAGTCAGGGTTAACCTGCTCAGTGAATGGGAGGCTTGAGTCCCGTTCAGAGGGAGTGACCAGGGGGCCACTGCAAGGTGGAGATGGGCTGGAGGAGTGATGCTAGAGACGAATGTGAAAGGAGGCATTTGTGTTCGATTTATAGAGCTCATTTGATAATGATGAGGCTGTGTGAGATTGACTTGACTTATCCCTCCTGCACTTAACTTAATAACTTGCGCATTTTCTTTCTCTAAGTCTTTAGAAAGCAACAACGATTTGCGGTGACAAATTCTACTCCTGTTGAAAAATGCCTTCTGCCTTGCATTATCTCGGTTTTAACGGGTTTAGCTATTGAGTTGTGCAAAACTTGATCTCCTGTCTCTGTATCCCTAGGTCTTTGCCAGCTGAGAAAATATTGGTATTGCTATCATCTGACAGGAATATCTGATTAGATGTTTCTTCTTGTGTACAGAGCTGTGATACCTCTATATAATGTAAGTAACTATATGATCAGACTTCCACCCGCTGTTCAGCAAGCACAGTCGTCCTCTCTGTGCTGAGCAACCTTCATTTATTATAAATCTGAGGAAAGGCGCAGGGAACAGCCGAGGTTCCGATACAAAGAGAGACATTTCCTCTGGGATTTTGTCTTGGCAGTGAAAAATGTATCCGCTGCTAGTGCTAGCTTTCCCCGCTCTCGCCTGCTGCTCGATACTAACTGAATGGCTCGTCAGCTGAGAGACTTCAGTGTTGAAAGCAGGAAGCAAAGATAGAGACCCCGAGGCAGTTAATCCAACCCCCCCTTAATTAACAAATCATCAATCATCTTTTATGAAGAAGTCGGACAGGATCAAAAACAAACTCTTTTTTTTTCTTTCGCCAAATGGTATCTGCTGCTTTCAGTGGGGTTAGTTTGCACTCAGGGGTTGGGCTTTGGAAGAGCTGCTGTAGCCTAGGTGCTGTAGGATGTAGGCCATGTAACTCAGAATAATTCCTTGGAATTACAGAGCACTTTCTATCCCAGGTTGCTTCACAGATAGGAAGGCGATGCGAGCTAACTTTTCTTTACCTGCATCCCCACAGCAGATCAGGTGGAGAAAGGAGAAATGACTTCTGTTTCACAAGGAGGAATTTATCCAGGACGCTGGGAGCCGCCCCATGCTTACAGTCAGCCACGGGATCTTTAACATCATCTGAAGTACAGCACTTTGTCCCGATACAGCGTGTCTGGTCACTATTCTGGGGCAATAGTTTAGAAATTCTGGTCCATATCTAACAGGCCCACCTACTGGTTTACCAGTGCACATTCAGCTGCACTAAGCAGATCCCAAAATTGCCCAGGCCCGGCCTTGCTGATCCTCTGGGATCTACCGAGATCAGGCTATAGGGAAGAATTAGTGGTGTATGTTCCACAATGAGCTGTTATGTCTGATGCTGCTGGTCTTGTCCTCTCCTATCTTGTCCATGTGGCACCTGAAGTTCTCCTTTAATTAGAATGAAGAAAGAATTGAATCACTTGATCTGCATGTCACCCAGATCAGTACTATAATTTGATGATGGCACAGAGGGGAGTTGTACAGCATGATGTAAATCATACCACTATTGCTTCCATACAAATATGCTTTTTAAATCACTTCTTTATCTTTTTCTCTCTCGTATTTTTCCTCCTTTCCTTTTTGCTGGTACTGTGCTAAGGATCCATGCCTTTGTCATGTTAAAAATGTTAGCTTATACCCGTTAGGTAGGGATATGACTATCCAATTTTCTCAAAAAGGGGGAGAAAAACGTCTGATCAGTTAATGCAAAACATGCTGCTCATCTCAGTTGTTTCTATATTGTTTTCAGCTCAGTGAAAAGGGACAGCGCATTTTCTGAAAGAGGGAGAAATTTTGCACCCCTCTTTTTCTGTGGGTGGTTTATTCTGGATACTGACTCAATAAATCCATCAGTAAAAATGAACCTTAAAAAAACCTACTCCCTGCCTTCCCATCCTCAGGCACAGTAAGCGAGTGTGCTGCCCCTCAATCAAAGTGCCTTTGACACCAGGGAAGCGTAAGGACACAATCTACTGACTCGATTTCCAGTGGGGCAGACTGAGAGGGGTGGACTGGGCACCAGGGCAGAAACAAGATGTGGCCTGTTTTCACAATAAGATCAACAGATCAAATCCAGGTCATGCTGAATACGCTGAAAGCCAGTACACGGTGTTCATCCTCAGCTTCTTTTAAATCAGTTTCTTCATTTATTTTGCTAGGAATTCACTACCACAACAGCTGTATGACTTAAGGAGAGAACAACAGGAGAAAGGCTTTTCACCGATCAGCCCAGGAAAGGCGCTGGGCCTGCTTGATGCCCACTCTTACCAGTATCCCACAAAAAGAACTTTTTGAGCAGAGGTGTCTTATTTTACATCACTGCTGTCAAGAAGATCACTTTATTACCCTACTTGGCTATATTTAGCTAAATTTAATCACTGTACCTAATTAATTTTATTTTTAGTGATTACTTTGTCAATACTGGCTTAGTTTTAATTAATTTTTCAGCATTTTTGCCCTCTGCTGGTTGGCCATGTTACTGAAAGACACTAGTTCCCAATCGTGGTCCTGGTGACCCACACACACCTGCTGGTTTGTGTTCCAGCCGAGCTCCAGTTCACACAAGCAAACCCTTCTTTGACTTAATCATACTTAGATTAATCTGAACTGTTTCCAGCTCTTAAACATTTTGGAGATCTTCACCGTATTGAAGTATTTTTTTCATGAAATAAAATCCCAAACTTGTGAGTTTGTGCAAATATCCCAATGAAGCAACTTTTTGGCTCGAGTGGGCCCTCAGTCATCTCACGGAGGAGGGGAGGAATGAAGGCCAGCAGGTGTGGAGGTCACCAGGCCCAGGACGGGGAACCCCTGCTGCAGTGTTCGCAGGACGCGCTGTAACCTTTTCTCCTGCATTTCGTCGCCCCCCCAGATTTTAACGAGGCCATTCCAGAGACGGAGCTCCTGGACAGCAGTCTGCAGAAGGCCCGCGCCCAGCTGTCCGTCAAGTCCAGGAGGCACCGGCCCTCCCGCTCGCGCCTGCGGGACAGCGTCAGCTCCACCGAGGGCGACGAGAGTCTGGAGAGGAAGGTTCGCAGAGCCGCGCGCCCCTCAGGGGGACTGTCCTGGCCATCTCCCAGCCCTTAAGAACACGGGCCATTTAGCCCACCCGGCTTGTTTCCTTGTAGTGGCTTCTTTCATCATAGTTAGTAGGCGTTTGTTGATTGAAGCCAAGGTTTCTGCTTTAGCAAAGCAGCTGGGTAGCTTGCTCCACACTTCCACAACCCTTTGCGTAAAGTGACCTCTGTTCTTGGTCTTAAATTCACTTCCCTATACTTCCCACTTCTGTCTGCTGTTTGTTATTTTACAACTAAGCCACACTCACCCTAGTGCCACTCATAAACCTCTTGGCCCAGGGAAGTATTATTACAGTGTGGGTGTTATTCACCGTGGTCTAATAGTCCACTTATGTCAAATAGTCCAGGCTCACAACTGCCTTATTTCAGCTTCACTTTGGAGAGATAAAAACAAATATGTTTTGAAGCTGCAATTGTTACTTTGTCATAAAATGCAAGCATTTTGTTTTGTACTTCCCAATTTTCTTTTAACCATTTTAGTTATCATCTGAAGGTTCTTAGAAGTTCAAGTTGACCAGGAATTTAAAAGTATTCCCATTAAAAACAAGAGTTTGCAAGAAACTAGCATCTAGCAACATATACTTCATGAATTAAGTCCGAGATCTAATCACAGTGCAGTAAAATAATGGATGATGAAGTACAGGAATGGAGGGGGGACTGGTAGAGATGTGACCTCTGCTCTCTCTCTCGTCTGTGCGTGCGCTGCAGTCGTCGGACAGCCACGGCAGCCCGCTCCACAGCATGCGCTCGCCCCTGCACTCCGCGCTGCGCTCCTCGCCCTCTCCGGACTCCCTGCTGGCCTCCTCGCCCGTCCACCGGGGCCCGGCCTTCTCCTTCGACACCTCCGTGGTGCGCCGCAGCCTAGAGGAGGGCGAGGCGGCGCCCCCTGCCTCCCGCACCCGCTACCAGCAGCTGACCAACGCTTCGTCCCAGGAGGCCCTGGGCTCCACGCCCACCAGCTCGCCCTCCAAGTCCTGCCCCAGCTCCGACGGCTCGCCCGTGTACATGCGCAGGGAGCGCCGCACGGAGAGCGAAGGTACGAGGCGTGCTGTGGGCACACCCCAAATCCCCGTTCTGCACTGGTCTGAACCAGCTTCATCCGGTACAGGGTCACTAGGGGGATCCACCTTGGACCATCACAGGGCACACACAGACAGAAACCACGCACTCACACCAGGGCCAGTCTTTCCAGAGGCCAGTTAACGTACCATATGTCTCGGACTGGGGGAGGAACCCAGAGCAATCGGTAAAAACCCACATGAACACACAGAGAACATGCATGACAAAGATACCACCCCAATAGGAATATAAGATCACAAAAGAGAAGAGACCATGGGGCCATATCTAGCTTTTTGCAAAATCCTAAAAATGTAATCTGTTTCTTGAAAAAGACTTTAACAAGAGGGGACGTTAACTTTTTAAACTCCCACTACCCTTTGTGCAGAGAAGTGACCTTATCGTGTGTACATCATAATTATTTCAGCACTGTGGTTAGCGTGTGCATAAATGTATATCAAATACTGCTGTAAGTCAGTGTTGGTGTACAAGAGAATTGTTACATTAACTTTCCCTTTTTCCACAGTTAACAGATAGTGTCTCCAGCGGACATTGTAGCAGACATGACACAGGCTCTTTATCATCGTAGTAGAGGCAATGTAAACAGTGTTAGGTGTTGCAGTAGAGGCCGTGTGACCCTTAGTGCACATCACAGCAGGTGTCACATTAATGACATATCTCAGTAGAGGTCACGCAACCTTTTCTGTCAGGTTATGACGATTGTGTCACCAGTGATGAGGGACCCTTATCCTGACGCACACAACCACCCTTTGAAAACAGCTGGACAGCTATCTTTCAGCTATCTTGCTCTTTTCTTTCACTGCTCCCCTCCAGCTCACATTTAGAAACTCCAGTATAGTAGATGGGTTTGATTTCAATTTCACGGCATCTTTTTAGCTTTTATTTTTGTTATACCCTCTGGGAAGTGTAGACACGAATGGTGCTATATAAGACTCTATTTGTATTGTATCATCCTGTCTGGATGAAACACACAGAAGTGGCAACTCTTTGTTAAATGTCAATATGTATTGGCTTGTGCATTATGTGAGTGCTAGAGAACACATATTGAGCAGTGGAGAGTGTATTGCTGTGGGCTGCAGTTAATGCTGTGACACAGTTAAGTTTCCTGTATCCCATCAAAGGGATACTGGATTACCCTCAAGGTGTCATGGCTGTGCTGGTGTTTCAGATGACAGCCGGGACACCAGCCCTGCAGAACCCAGGAGCCCCACGGTCATCCTGGATAAGAAGACCAAGAGAAGATTCCTGGATCTGGGGTGAGCCAGTCGATCGGGGTTAAGGGCAGAGACTCCTGGGTCTCTGCACTGCATGGACAAACACTGACTGGTACACTTATAAATGGTGAATCCCCTGCACAAAAAAAGGGCTGAAGTAACAGCAAGGTAGAGGTGATTAAAGATGAATTTCTGCAGGATTGGTCACCTTCTCCCTTCCTCCTACAGGGTCACACTGCGCCGCTCCTATGGGAAGGTCAGGAAGGAGAAGTCCAATAGGTTATCAGTGGGAAGCAGGTAAGATTCTTGGCTCCCCAGCTCACGTCTCAGTGGCACTGCAGGAGCGGTACAGTCAATCCATGTGCACATAGTCGCTGTTTAATGGGCCTGCACGCTCATAGTTAAGTACTTTACAGGTGATTGACAGCAGCTACTACATAGAAAAGGACTTAGGATGGGTGTGCTTCATCACATCATGTACCTACTGGGAACTGATGGCAGCCTGTGACACATGCAGCTTATTTTTCAGTCTTGCAGTTATTGTCAATTCTATTATAATTTATTATATAGGTTTGGTTTTAGGCCTCAATTTCTATCCTTGCTAACATTTAGATTTCCTTCCTAAGTGTGCTCATCAATTTAAATCCTACTTTGCTTATTTGCTTGGTTTTTATCATTTCCTAATGTTTTAAATAACCCATGATTTAGAGGGGGTCACCCCCTTCCCCAGTGTAGCCTAGTCAAGGCCGTCTTGCAGTCTCCCTGCTCATGTTTCCACTCATTCACGTGCCCCTGCTCCGCTGCCCCGCCATGACTTCCCCCTGTGCGTCCCCTGCAGGGAGCCGTCGGAGAGCCCCTCCCGGTCCTCAGGGTCCCCGTTCGTGCCTTTCTCCTGGTTTACCGACAGCACCAAGGGGTCGGCCTCCTCCAGCAGTACCCCCTCCTGCTCCCCCAAGACCGCGTCCCAGAGCTGCAGCCCCCGCAAGTCCAACTCTCAGGTAGGCCGCGGCGCACGCCCAGCTGGAGGCACCTTGATCTTGAAAGGCTCTTCTAACTTGCTTGCCCTGCTCCTATAAAGCTTGTACTAGCCCCAGATTTAGGGGCTGGAAATTTTATTCTGCGGCGACAAATTCTAGCAAGAATGGGCTAGAATCTGCACCAACGTACTGTAAAAGGCCAACAAGCTTGCGGTCTTAAATGGGGAGAAAAGGTGTGTGTTCTGAAACAGAAATCCAGCACAGTCCCTTTATGGCAGAGCGTATGTTTCAGTTATGCCTTCAGGTAAAATCTGTGAGAAGAAACCCAGAAGAACAGGGCACGTGGTAGGGATGTATGGGTAATTCAGAGGGATTAATTTACCAAGACAGCATATCTCTAAGAGACACAAGGAATCCCTTTTCAGAATTGAACCCCGGACTCCAGAGCTGTGGGACCACGATGCTCACCTCCACACCACACCTTTTAACACTGCTTCTAAAATGTGCACAAAAATGGAAAGGAAAAAAATACTGGACTCTCTGTATAATAAGAATCATTTTATTTTATTTATTTTAAATTAAAACAAGAGGAGGAAGAAAATGTCAGAGCTATAAGCCTCCCCCTTCTTTTTCAAATGTTTCAAAAGCACATCTCTGTTCCCAGACGGCGCACAAACCTGATCTGTCAGCCTGCTTGTCTCTTGCCTAACGGGGGAAGAGCCGAGGCATTGCTGTTTCCATAGGAGCAAAAAAAACTCAGAACCAGACACAGGAATGCAGGAGTGAAATGTCAGATATTCCCTTTAAGGTGCTACAGCACTTTTTGTCCATTGTAATTGCTGCAGTCTGATTAAACTGACACTGGCTTGAGGTATCGTGAAGACAATTACATGATTAGGTCTCAGCTTCTCTTAATTGTATTTGGGGGTTGAACAATAACATTTAATGAACTGAGAGATTTGTTTGTTTTTATTCTAGAATTTAATAGCTTACAGCTGAGCAGATCTACATCACAATTAAGACAGTTTTGTTTGTAATTCCCCCCCCCCCACCAATCACAAAGTAATTTGTGCCATGTGAAATTTACATTTCCTGTCACTAAAAACAACCATACATTTGGAGGAAAACTAATACATTTTAGATGCTCTTTGCCTTAGTTACCAAATCCACCCGAGTTAAAAATCACCGGCATACTGAAAAAGTTAATTTCAGGTGTGAGCCAGTGGCCTCAATACACCAGCATCAACAGAAATGTCCTGAGAGCTGTCATGTAATAGTGCTGAAACTAAGTGCTCTGTAAGTGGGATTTCTGAAGCCAGTGCAATAGACTCCGCTTCAGTCCTGAGACTCACAGATACAAAGCTGAGGGAGGCAGATTTAATTATGGGGATTTTAAGGGTAATTTAATGAAAGTCAGTCACGAGTCCAATACAGTTAACTCCACATGTTGAGGTAGATTGATGTCTGTGTTCCAGACATTGGTCAGCTCTTTCAAACTGCAAATGTTAAACCAAGTCTGTCCTTACTGAACACAACACAACAGCCAGAAATATGAACCTGTACTTTACCTTTTCAGTTGGGAACATTTGCTTGAAATGGCATCTGGACCATGTTTGTAACCTGCCCATTCAGTTTAAACAACTGAATAAAAAAAATAGGTAAAGACACTTTTAACCAACAAACACTAAGCTGGCAAAAGCATTAATTATCTGGCACAGCAATAAAATATTTTAAACTAACACGTTGAGGAACAGAACAAGATTTATTTTACTTTTAAATTACTGGAAGTAGCTGTTGTTCTAGCAGCAGGAATAAAGTAGTTTTCTAAACAACAGCATTGGATTTTAAAGAAATCCTTTTCAATAAACCCCCCCCCCCCCATACATAATCAGCATGTATAATTCTGTTCTATATTGTAAGAGATTAATGACAGACCCATAAGATTATCAGAACAAGAGTTGCCTGGACTAGACCTGGGGTGAACAGTAGCCCCTGGTGTCTGGGAAGCTCTCAGGCCACCAGGTTCAGGCTGGGTAGTTTTGTGAAGCTGCTGCTCGTTAACATGGTGTTATAAACGAGCGGGGCCGTGTGAGGGCTGCGGCTGACCCACTTTCGGTCCCACTGTTACCTTGGTAACTCCAGTGCTGGTGTTTGTGAGCGCGGGGGCTCGGGGTTCTGGGGTGAGGGCAGCAGGCCCTGGAGAGAAAACGAAGAGCAAAGCACACTTTTGGTTAAGCGGTCCTTAACTCGGGGTGCGCACACAGGAAGGTAAATCACTGAGAACAGTGACACACAGGCATGCAAGTCCAAGGGGTCAGGCTCTCGAAGCGGCAATGGCCTTCTTCAACAACAAGAGGAGACAACTGCTACTGATGTCGTGTTACCCAGACGCTTCCTTTAATCTAGGATTTATCTACTCAGTTTCCACATTATCTGACATTTTCGATTATCCAACATACTATCGGTCCCGGTAAGGTCGGATAATCGGGTCTCTACTCTCCTTTCATTCCATAGTCTAGGATTTAAAGAACTGACCTGCGCCAGTGCTGTTTAATCAGTAGTGGATAACCACTGCTTTAAACAGAAGGGCAGGCCATGGCTAGCAGAGTGACCAGAAAAGTGCTTTAGTTCCTTGTCCCCTGTGCCAGATTCAAGTGCAGTGAGCCTAAACTGCCTCAAAGCAGGCAGAGTCACAGATCAGGCTACTAACAGGCAGTAGGTCTGGGCCACTACTTGTTCAGGACAAGTTTAAATCCTTCCAGGCATCTCCGAGATGAACCTGTCTGGAAACGTCTGTGCAGCTGACTTGAATTCCACAGGGCACACAGATGCTCAGAGACAGACTATTACAGAGATATTTTTTCTCTGAGGCGACTGCAAGTATATAAACTCACCCAGTACAGGCTACTCTGCAGTTCTGTGGACCTCATGGCTCTTCCAGGTGTTGGTCTTCACATGTGCACATCTGCAGGTCTTTAGGTTCTCATCATGCCTTGAGACCAGCCTTAAACAATTCCAAACTGATATGAGCATTTATCACACAAAAAAATACACCGCCGCACTAATAAGATCATTGGTTATTAAATAAAAAAAAATACACATTTGTATGTATTGTAAGGATAAAAGGCATAATAATATCCCAGGATGCTGTGATCAGCCCTTGGCTGCTAGATGGAAGGCGATCAGTCCTGTGCTAATGTGCTATGCTGTAAGGTGAGCGGCTCTGCTCCTAATGTAAAACCATTTGTTGTGTTTACGGATTAGAGGTGTCCTCTTAGCCTTGATCTACAAAGCAATTAAAACCTCCCATGAAAACAGGTCCATTAAATGTTCCCCAGCAGTGTAGCAAAATAGCTTTCTAATAAGCCTGCATTAGGAAAAACACCGTTGCTGGTTGTGCACAGTTGAAACACAGGTTTTTATTATACACACAGGTGCCCTTAAGAAATACGAGCACAGAGGACGGGGCGGATGTGGACATGTGTCCCTAGTTGTTTGTGCAGAGTGCATACCAGGTGCTTTAATTTGAAACCACTAGTGTGGTTCCAGGTTAAGTTCTTTATAAGGCCAGTGTTTTGGTCTTGGCTGGTTTTATTTATTTTAGACCCATCGCCTATGAAGAATCCCACGATAGCTCTCATTCAGCCCAGCATTAATTAGCGCCTGATATTCAGATGTTAAGAATGTGCATAGATGTACGAAGGATACCAGAGCAAAAACAGCAGATCGAAGTTGAACTTCCACCTCATCCTGCCTCAAATGGTCAGTCCCATGGCCTGTGGACTGTTCTGTTTAGTCAAGCTGGCTTTGCTCCTCCATAATGGGAGAGATTAAAGACAATATGTGACGACCAAGGTCAGCATGGCTTGTGTGGGATAGCTGGTCCCAAAGAGACTGCAGATTCCCTATGCTCCCATACCCTCCCTAGGATTTGGGAATGCGGATAAGCCCGGTGGTCCAGTGGGACACTTCGGATCAGCCGCAGCAGTGACTGTCAGCTACAATGCGGTCCTCCCCCAGTCTTTGATCTGCTTAGTAAGCTGTCAGCAAAGCCCGGAGAGCAGCTGAAGCCGTCTTCATTTTTCACTTTTGATTTTAGATGTTTTAAATAATTGGTCCCTGGCTCAGCTGAATCATAACCACAAGTTGTTTGAAAGTTGTTAAGAAGGATCTTTTATCTGAAGCATAAAAAAAAAGATTCCTTGGCACAACTGGAACGGCAATATCATAAAACTAAACACCACTGAAATGCACTGAACTGGATTGTAACATATTGTACTGTGATGTTCTTGTAGGTGTGCTACAGGAAAATGTACTTGACAGCAGCACCAGGTTGTGTGTGATGCACAAGGCCAAGCTGCTGTATTAATGCCTTTCGCATGCTTGGGGTTGTGTTGAGTGCACACTAGCTACATGGAGAAGCTATTAAATATAATATGGAGCTCTGCTTACCGCATGGCTGTCCAGTGATTACATTAGGTCTCATGATATCGGTTAATTGCTTTTGCCTCCCCACCGACAGGAGTCCACCTTAAGTGATGACTTCTGTCCCCGGAGTCCTCGCGTGTCCAGTGGGTCAATGGCTGATTCCAAATCCTCGCACCCGTACCAGACACTCTCCCAGTCATCTGACGAGGTGAGTCAAAGCTGAATTTCAGCAGGGGCTTAAAGACCTGTGTTTTAGCAGACAAAAAAAAAAGATTAATACTCAATTTGATGAGAACATCATAAGTGCACCGAGAACACGAGAACAGCATAACGCCTTTTTCACGTTTGATTATGAGCATTGCAACTTTGTGAACTAAACTAAGGTTTTTTTTAAATGTACAAGAATATGGGCAGCCTTTTTTACAAAATATCTTAACAGCAGGTTTGAAATGAGTTAAACTCCTTCTGCCTAGTGAATAATCATGCCCTCTGAAAAGCCAAGTGTGTCAGACATGGTTGCACAATGATTGAGAAATCAATTACTTCCAGTAAACTAACTCCCCGTGTTAATCAGCCATGCAGTGTGCTGGAGGATTAGTGGTTTTAGGACTTATACAGCTGAGTGCCAGTGGCTCTGCCCTCACCTTCACTGACTGAACACCAGGCCCATGGGCTGTGTCTTCCAGAAAGTGTAGAACCCATCTCTTGTCTGCAAGGAACACATCGCAGATTAATTAGTCAGCAGGCTGCCTTGCTCATCACCCCCCTTAACTGGGAAAAGGCTTTGCAAATCACTGCTTTGCTCTGCCAGCACTGAGTGCAATCAAGAAAATACCAGTATGTGGGGGGGTGACATTTTAGTTCCCCTCCAGCCTCGTCAGGACCATTCTCTACATTCCTCATGCATCTTGCATTTGTACATGCGAGTCATTCTTTTTCTAGTTACAGAAAAATGTAAAGAATGGTATCTAAGTTATAATTTTTCACTTACGTGTTACATTGCACACACATGTTTTTGCTTTCAAGGGCAGTGCATTAAGTGAGTGGTGGCCAGACTCTGACATTTCCCTTAGAATGGGACACAGTGAGGCGGCTCAGTATAGAGCATGGTGCAGGAACCACTGAAAATGAACCCCATTTTTGCCCTGTGCCCCCCAGCTCCTGGACGAGCCTCTGTGCCTGGTGTCGACCTGGAGCACCCAGCAGGTGTGCCAGTGGCTGACGGGCCTGAACATGGAGCAGTACATCCCCGAGTTCACTGCCAGGGACATCGATGGGGAGCAGCTGCTCCAGCTGGATGGGAGCAAGCTAAAGGTGAGCGGGCATGGGATCGGGGTCGAGGCTGAGGCCAGAGCCCCGTCATACTGAATGAGCACACACTCTCCACTGGAGCTATTGGCCAGAGGCACTGCAGTCCATCACCCCTCCCTTCCACAGGGGTCCACAATTTGCACAGCAGCTCCGCACCTGTGGTTGTGTTTTTGCATCAAGTCCCCACGTGATGGCACATTGGCACAGTACCTCCATCCAGTGTGTTGGTGCCTGCTCCATTTCGTGTTTGGGATTTTTTTCCCCACTTGTATGTTGTATCCATGCTGTCTTATTTCAGTAAGGTGGGGCTCTTTCCGTTGCGATTAAGGCAACCCCTTTTTGTGATGACAAAGAAATGTTTAAAATTTGTTATATTGTATTTTATTGTATCGATCGCAGTAAAACATGAGCAGTTTCACTGTTCCAAAGCTACCAGAGTCTACCTTTTATGAAACTCCCGAAAAACGCACTTGTTAGCATTGTCTGCACACATGGGCAGGGGTGAAGGTCAGGTTTAAGCACAGTATAGTGCTGAGGAGGGTAGTGTAGAGTTATAGTTTTGTGATTGATGTTGGGGATTTGTCTTAGGCTAAGGGATAGATGGAGGCTGATCACTTTTAGTGTCTGAAATCAGATTTAGTAAAGCCTACTTAGATTTGGGTCTAAAAGTGACCATTTGCAAGATCTATGGAGATTAAATCTCCAGTCCTGATTAACCCACAAAATAATATTCCCCTATTACAGTATTGTTGTCTTCCTTTTAGCATTAACATGCCAATTCATAGTACAGTTAAGAGTACAGCTCAGAAATGGCTCAGCTTTGCTCCAGTTCAGGCCACAGCTGCACAACACATTCTTTGTTATGAGCAGAGAAAAAGCACAGACCTCTGTGGGGATTGTTCTGTATTACAGCTTGAGAATTGGCCTGAGAAGCACTGAGATGAATGCAAAACGTGTGGCTCGATGCCAGACTGGACATTGTACAGTTTGATAATGGAGCAGGTCGGAGAAACACACAGCTGCAAGATAGAGGGACTGCTGATGTGCTTTCTTAGGCATTTCAGGATCCGTTTTCAAGTACAATGTCAGGATTGTATTAGTGACCTCCACAAAACCCCTGCAGTTACTCTTATTTACAATTTCATGCACTGCAATACAATCTTGATGTAGTTCCATAGTGCCACCTACTGGAAGAAAAAGAGCAACTTGGGAATGTGCAGCAACAAGCCAAATTTCTTACTGTTAGAGCTTAGTGTTATTCTGAATCTCATTAAATGTGGAGCTGTGAGAGCTCCACACTGCAAGGTGCCCATGCTCAATAATTACATTCTGAAGGACCTGTCATTTGTGTCTTAGAGGTTTCATGCTGGCAGGCTATATCTGAACTGCCTTACACAAAGTTAGAGAGGGAAAATAGACACGATAGAGCTTTTTCAGACATTCTCAGGCTGAAACGTTTCTAAATGCCCGCTGACTTTCATTCCATCTAGTTGCTTAATTGCACCCTTAATTAATTGGGACTGAAGATGTTTTTGTTTTAAGCATCATAACGGGTTGCAATTTTGAAGGTTACTTGCAAACAATTCACAGTGGATATGTAAGCCTTTGCAAGCCACTGGGGTGAAAAGGATATGGATCGGGGAGCCTTGAGCTCACGCATTTCTGACACCCATGGGATATGCAAAGGCTCATTCGATTCGGAGAAGTAGAGAAAAAACTATTTCAGCTGTGAGGCCTTTTTCAGAGGTTTTTACCTTTCGGCATGGAATGACCTGTTCCCTTTGCAGCCTATACATGCTGATACAGCTCTCTACCCAGACCTATCCATGGGATATTATCCATAGAGCATTAGTCTTAGTGCTGTAAAAGCAATTCTATACTTGGTAGATACTTTATGATCACTGACATGATATATGATTAGTCCCAGCACATGGTTCAACTAATAGGCTAGAAAAGGATAGAGACAGTATCCTTCTTTTTCATCTTCCAAGACATCAAATATCCTTTTACTTGCAAGTGAATGAGAGATAATTGTGGCCAAACTCAAAATCAGAGTAAGAAATATGTCTTGACTTGAAAATACCCCACCTAATTAGTCCAATGTTTCTGGTAACCTACCTCACTTTCTGGTGAACTGCTCCTGTAGTACAACTTCTCCATCATGCTGAGCAGCTGAATGTAATTCTGCAATTTAAACACAGGACAGCCAATTCAGCTCAGAACTTTGTGTAGCACTAAGAAATACTTGATATTCCTTTGTTGATTTAAAGGAAAAATACAAAAGCTGTAGGTAGCTGAAATACTAGAAAACTGCTACCATGTAGTGTTGCCACTGTTTTTCACTTCTGCAGACTGTTTTAAAGCTAGGGGTGCAGTCTTAAGGTCTGCGGCACTCTTGCTAATTAACCAGCAAACCAGACAAACGGGTTTGAGTGTTGGCAGTATTTGCAAGGGGGGCTATAGGCCTTCTGCTGATCGTGAATCAGTCATTTCTGCGTGGGGCTGTGCAGCTGTCCAGCAGGACCCGTGGGGGACTAATGCAGCTGGGTCTGGTGTGTGCTCTGTCCCGTCTGCACTCAGGGCCTGGGGGTCACCAGCTCCTCGGACCGCAGCGCGCTGAAGCGCCGCCTGAAGGACATGCACGCGGCCGCTGAGAAAGAGCGCAAGGCCCTGGACAAACTGGAGAGGCAGAAGGAGAAACAGCGCAAGAAGGACCAGGAGCAGCGCAAGAGCTAGGACCACAGGGGGGCGCCCTTTCCCCCGGACTTGATGGAGAGAGCAGGAGACGGGACAACAGAATGAGCAAAAGCGTTCCTTCTGCACATTTAAAACATCATAAAAAGTACAATGAAGGCCAGATACCTGCAGTTCATTGGTTATGATTAGGGGAAAAAGTTTAAATTTCTCTTGTTTTTACACTCTGCATAAAAAGAACTTTTAAACCTTTGTGTTGTTGGTATAATTTTGATCTTGTTCAGCAAGAGTGGAATAAAACCTCTACATATGGGGTGAGACAGCTGTGTGTTCCAGGCCTCCCCCTTGCACCAGAGTCCAGTGCGATTGCCTGGAGGACAGTGTGGAGCCATCAGGAGGGGAGCTGCCACACTTTCAGAAGCACATGCACATGCTCCTGGGATTGCCAGCTCATCAGACAGCTCCTGTTTGAGCTGCAGGGGGGGGGTTTGCTGAAACTGACAAGGATCTGGCTTATTAACCTTGGTGATTTCCTGTGAACTCCTGCCAAAGGAGAGCTGGTATTTTCTCCTCTCCACGTGATACAGTATCCCTCGCCCACCCAAAAGTTTGCAGGATCCTCTAAAATTCCCCAAAAGTATCCATTATCCAAACACAAGACGAAGCAGAATGCACAGTAACACTTAAAAAAAAAAGCTTTGACAATAATGTTTCCGTTTCCTCATCTTGGACATCCAGTTGCCAACGACCAATAGAACAGTCTGCTTTTGCTGCAGATGAGACTTCCATTGTAATGACACTGTGGGTAATCATTTGCTGTGCAATACAGATAGTTTGCTCCAGAAATGAAAGGAGGCAAACCTTATATTTGAAAAGTTCTACAATGCATAGTTTACTGTATGTTTAATTAACTTAGCTGTTTTTTTTCTTATGAATTGAGCTGCGCCCTTCAGGAATATATTCATCTATGTATTTCAGCTGTTTTGTGTCCATTTTATTTTTAAATCTGGACCACACCTGTGTAATGTAATGTCTTACAATCCTGATTTAACTTGAATAAAAGACAACATTACAAGAAATGGGTCTGTATAGCCACTGGTCAAAACCTACACCCTCAGGAAGGATGTTGACAGCTTACAGCAGTCATGAAGTCTAAAGGCAACAGAGCCAGTTGAGCTAGGCTGAAGATCATTTTACCTTGCAGTATTTATTACATGGCCCGATCTGGCCTCTCATTCATACCTCCCCAGGCTATGAATTACGAGTGGAACAAACTCTTTTCAGGCGTTTGTGTGTTTTTGCTTTCATTGTATGCAAATCAGATGTATAAGACATGTTTATCTCCTCAAAATATCAATGCCAATTAAAAGACATTTATCAAGAATTGCAGTGCTCTGTGTCATCGTGTGGCAAATCTGGAACTATATTCGCACCTTGGTTCCTAATTTTGAGGACAGGTTCTAAAACTATGCAAAGCTGGCCTTTTCAGCATTACTAAATAACACCTGCCACATTTTAAATCTATGTTGTATATTGCATAAGCAAATGCACCATTCAGGAAAATGTACATGTATGCCAGAAACACTAGTTACAGAACTCACCTGAGCATCAGAAGGAACTTATCACTTTATGCATGCACATTTTTAGAAAACATAAAGCACTCAATAAAGAGGTACCTGATTAAACGCTTTTGGTGTCATTTTGATCATTCATAACTTGACCATGATAACTCAAATTACCCCATTTGTGAAAGGGCTGATTGGGCAAAAGGTGGTGAGGTGATTTAAACTTCTGAAAGTCAAAGAAGAACGGGAAGAAAAATGGAGACGGAATATTGGAAAAAAACAAGCATGCCCCGCTTCTCAACAGAAATCTTTGCATCACTGGTATTCTGGAGTGTGAGTGTAGACTAGATCACTTCAGATGTTGTCCACCTCTCACCAATATAAGCAATACAAGTGTGGTGCACAGATGGTACCTGCGGTGCACAACAGGCCAATCACATGCAAGGTCCAGGTGCGAAAGTTTGGACAGAACACCATTCATAGTGATGGAGCAGCCCTGAGTTAATCTGGGACCCTGCCGGCTGCCCTGCGTTACAACAGAACACGGCCTCATGCCACTCGTGTATCAACAGCTTTCTGGCGAGGCGAGAATGCTAACAGTTATGCTGTGGTGCCGCAGTGAACTTCTGTATGACGAGCTGGGACAGCATGTGGGACTAAGGCTCAGGGACCAGTGAACAGGGAAGCGCTTGTCCAGGCTGTGCGAAAGGAATGGGACGGAATCTCACAAGACAATCTACAACCCGACGTGAAGCATGTGTCCCCGACAGACAGCCTGTATTGGTCCCAACCTTTGGCCACACACAGTCCTAAGTCATTTACCTGTCCCGCCTGATCAATAAAATATCAATGCACCAAATACGAGAAAATATATAATTTTACTGACAACTCTGTGAACTTGTTTAAACTATGGGCGGTAAGTATCTTCTTATGCTCAATATATATAATAGCAGATCGGGAAAACTTAATTTAAAACATGTCTTGCATTAATAAAACACAAACCCAAACTCTTTGTGCTCAGATTCTATCAACTTCATACAAATGTTCACCAAAAATCTGAAATCGTTATATTATATTGGATGAAACTCAGACTGCCACTTCGTCATTGTTACCGTACATGAGCTGGTCTTGCGTAAATGGGATGTTCTAGGCCTGTATGGGCTGGTAAAAATGAAGCTGGTATAACTATCAGATACAAATGTTAAAGGGCTCAGTACTACTCTCTTGCCAGTTCTCACAGTTTGCTGGGGTGAAAATAGAAAGCTATTACAATTCAGATGTTCCGATTGTGTTTAACCATTCCATGGTCAAAAAGTTTTTATTTTGCTTAAAATGTTAAGAACTCGTATATTGTTGGAATGTGAGTACTCTGTGAAAGGCTTCTTCTCACAGGAAATTAAAAGTTTTCACTGCCATACAACAGATTTTTATAGGCAGAGGGACAGGTCATGTGCTCCTATGTTAAAGGAGTCTGATGTTACTACCTTGTCAAACGATTATTGTGAAACCTGATCAATGACGTATGACATATCGTTATATGTCACATGTAATATTAACTTTATTC